GGGCACACACACACACACACACACACGCGCGCGCCTGGCGTGAGTTTAAGCCACCGGGTCCGGGACTTGAACCGTGATCGACTACGTGGGAGTCCAGCGACATAGCCATTATGCTAACTGCTGGTCCCACACAGCCAGCGTTTTTCAGGCTGCTAGGGTAGTTGGCTAGGTGGACTCTGTTCCCATAACCACTAGGCAATGGGGCCAGTCCAGGAATAACCTAATTTAATTCTTTTTTTTCATAAATTTTGTTTGAGTAATCTGGGGACAAATTATGATTTTTGGATAATACCTTTATTTCTGACTTTAAAATTTATTTTGTGGGCCAGCTGGTGGTGTGGTGGTTAAAGTAGTTGGATTGCACTTGGCTAGATCCCACATGTGCTGTTCAAGTCCTGGACCCGGTAACTTAAAAAACATGCCCGACGCATGTACATGAGTGAAAAGGAGGGAGAAGAGAAGGGATTGCTGCATGACTTCATTTATGGAGAGGTGTTTTCTCACTTTCCCTCTTTCTCTCTCTCTGTCTCCAGTGAGCATGCACACCCTCTGGGAAGATTAAAAAAAAATTATTTGCCTATTTGGCACTGGCCATCAATTGTGCCTATTATGACTGAAAAATATTAATATCCTCTATAAATGTTTATTTACAGTAAATAATTTTACTCACCTAATTACGTAAAACTACGACATTTTTTACAGTGTCCCTTAGATTTTACAGTTTGCTGCTGCAAACTTTTAGGGTATGTGTGCTCATTGGAGAGGCAGAGAGAGACAGAGAGGCAGAAAATGAGCAATTACCCCCAGGGATGCTGCAATCCTTTTGCCTCCATTCTCCTTTTGGGGCCTAGGGGATGGGATGCATGCACATGCACGCAGCATGAGTATTTTTAAGTCATCAGGGCTGGGACTTGAACAGCGGTCAAACACGGAGTCCAGTGATGTAACCATTATGTCATCTACTGGTCCCTTTATTTTTTTAAACTTGCATGTACTGGTTGAGAGAGAGCACCCCTCAATCGGCATGGTCATGCTACAATGCCTTCTCCATTTCATCATCCTGCTGGGATTTTGAGATGCACACACACACGCTCAGTGTGCTTCTTAGGCTGCTGGGGTTGGGATTCATACTGCACTCAGACACTTGAAATCCAGCTCCTTTAACCTCCATGCTATGGAACTGGCCCAAACTTTTTTTTTAAGTTTTTAAAATTTATCCCATGACACAGAGAGAGGGAGAAAGAAAAGGAGAGAGAGGCATCCGCAAGAGGTCTTTATGCCATGATTCACACCAGCTTCAATTAGTCTGGATAACAGGCACGTGTGCACCTGTATGGGGAATCTCAGGACACAAGCCCTGGATCTTCCCAGGTGGGTCCATATCGCAGAGCCTAGCATTACTGCTTTGCCACAATCTGGCCCCTGGTGTACTTTTGGAAGATATCTTGTATGTGGCTAATAAGTAATAATGGATAGAGGTCGTGAATAAACCCTGTAACAGTACATTAAAATGAGTGTCACCAATGTAGCCATGTTTTAGCCACTAATTTTTTTTTTTGAGAGGTTTTCGCTATAGGGCGCGTGCGCTTGCCAGAAAGACAGAGAGAGACAGAGAGATAGAAAGCGAGAAATCACCCCTCCAGGGGGGATGGCCATGCTGCAATCCCTTCTCCTCCATTCTCCTCCCGGGCATGCACGCACCCGTGCCTGGCACGAGTTTAAGCCGCCAGGTCTGGGACTTAAACCACGGTCGACTACATGGGAGTCCAGCGACATAGCCATTGCGCTAACTGCTGGTCCCAACCACTATTAATATTTTTAAGATTGCTTTTCTAATGAGCTAGTACCTGTTTCCTAACAATATACAATGGATTGTTGTGTTGTATTTATTTCATATATGACTTCATCTTGGTAAAATAAGTCAGAGATAAATGATCAATGAAAGGCTTTCTTCACAATAGTTACTTCTTGTTAATTTAGGCTTGAATTTACTTTTGAAAGCTATGTTAAACAAATTAAAAATTTAATTTAGAGAGTATGTAAAAACTGAACAGCCATTTCTATAAGAAGCATATTTTTAATTTATAGATTAACATGCAGATAAGTCATTGATGTGGCTCTGATAAAGCTCTAGTAAGGATTTTCTTTAAGTGACACTTATCATCCAGTTATATACATTTCAAATAAATTGATTTTTTTTAATTAAAAAAATTTTTTTGAAAGATTTTTGCTATAGGGCACGTGTACTCATCAGAGAGACAGAGAGATAGAAAACAAGAAATGACCCCCCCCACCACCCTGCAAGGGGGGAATGGTCATATGGCAGTTTCTTCTCCATTCTCCTCTTGGAACTTTGGGCATGTACACACACATGCCTAGTGTATTTTAAGCCACCAGGTCTGGGACTCGAACCACGATTGATTACATAGGTGTCCAGCAACATAACCGTTATGCCATCTGCTGGTCCCCTGAAATTGATTTCTTGAAAAGTTATTGATTTAGACATTCTATAATTAAGACTTCCATATGAATAGCTATTTTGTACATTATATTCCTACTTCATTTACCTAATTTACCACGTTGGTTAGTTATATATAACCAGGCCTTCTGATCTCCAACTTTCTCACTTTACTGTTTGCTGTGATGGGTTTATTTGGCGAGACTTTGCCTAGTTTATCTTTAAAAAGTGCCCTTAGACAGTATATCTGCCCAAGGTAAATGTTAAGCTTTTTAAGACGAGAATGATTAAATAACTTTCCCCTTTCTTATAAACCTTTTTTCCTCAGGATTTTGCCAGGATTACTTTTTTTTTTTTTAAACAGAATTTTAGGATAATCATAGACAATTCAGATTTAAGGATATCCCACCACAGGAATGTATGACTTGAAAGGTTTCTACATAAAAGATTACATTGAGTGGATTAATTTTTGCAGATTAATATTATCAGTCATGACAGTTCTTCTTACCTCTCCCTTGCTCCCCAGGACACAGTTACTGCTGAAAATGTAATTAGGCTATTGCTACAGTTTTCCGTCTGTCAGCTTCTATTGCAACTGAAATGAAATCTGTTACAAATTAAAAGATGATCACTCCAGAAAAGGTGGCTGTTTCTAAGGCACATGAAAATTTCCAGTAGGAATCAGCTGTTGTGAGATCTCCTTGCTATTATGTGCCTTGACAAAGGTTTCTCATTATTTTAAAGTGGCAGCATGGTATGGTAGTGCAAAGAAAGCGGATGTTAGAGGGACTGTCAAAGGGAACCCTATCAGACATCGTATTAGGTGTCTCGCATGCTTTCTTAGTCTTTGATTTCCTACTTTGCCTCACAAACTTTGTGGTCTTGGACAAGTCGCTTGATTTCTCTGATTTTAAGTTTGGAAAAAAATAATAAAATGTCCTGTTCCTGAACTCAGAGGTAAGAAAATGAGATCAGGCCCATAGCACAGTGAAAAAGATTCCTCCTTGGGCTGGCACATGGCCTCGTAGTTAAGGGAGCCAGGTCCCAGATGGTCGATTGCTGTTCAAATTCCAGCTCTGGTGGCTGGAAAAACAAAAACCAAAAGCACAGGATGCAAGTATGTGCCTGAGGTCCTGACAGGGGAGAAATGGAAGACAAGGTATTACAGTGGGACCATGTCCCTTTGTGGGGTGTTTGCTCCCTCTCCCTCTCTCTATCGAACCCTATCAGACATCGTATTAGGTGTCTCGCATGCTTTCTTAGTCTTTGATTTCCTACTTTGCCTCACAAACTTTGTGGTCTTGGACAAGTCGCTTGATTTCTCTGATTTTAAGTTTGGAAAAAAATAATAAAATGTCCTGTTCCTGAACTCAGAGGTAAGAAAATGAGATCAGGCCCATAGCACAGTGAAAAAGATTCCTCCTTGGGCTGGCACATGGCCTCGTAGTTAAGGGAGCCAGGTCCCAGATGGTCGATTGCTGTTCAAATTCCAGCTCTGGTGGCTGGAAAAACAAAAACCAAAAGCACAGGATGCAAGTATGTGCCTGAGGTCCTGACAGGGGAGAAATGGAAGACAAGGTATTACAGTGGGACCATGTCCCTTTGTGGGGTGTTTGCTCCCTCTCCCTCTCTCTATCTCTGTCTCTCTCTGGTGAGCACACATACCTTTCGACAATTAAAAAGAAGAGATTCCTGCTTAGGGAGTCAGATTTTACAGACTAATTCGAATCCTGGCTCCTGTACTTTGAAAAACCCTGGGTATGTGCGTGCATGTCTCCAAAATCCTAAAGAGATGGAGAAATGGAAGAAACGATCATACTCCATGCATGCTGCACTGGACTTCTAGTCCTTTTCCTCTCTTTTCCTCTCTCTGGCAAAGTGCACGAGTGTCCTCAAGCAATGAATAAAACCTAAGTAATGATCTGAAATTGCTTTTGGAACTAGAAAAAATTTTTTAAGGTTTTTGCCATGGGGCACATGTACTTCCAGAGAGACAGAGAGGGACAGTGAGAGGGAAAGTGAGAAATCACCTCTTCAGGAGGGATGGCCACGCTGCAATCCCTTTTCCATGCTCCTTCTGGAATTTTGGGCATACACACATACACGCATTTTGAATTTCTTTTTCTTTTTTTGGAGAGATTTTCGCTATAGGGTGCGTAAATACAGAGAGAGAGAGAGAGACAGAAAGCGAGAAATCACCCCCCAGCAGGGATGACCACACCGCAATCCCTTCTCCATTCTCCTCTCAGGCTTTTAGGCACGCACGCACACACGCCCAGCATGAGTTTAAGCCACCAGGTCTGGGACTTGAACCTTGGTCAACTACATGGGAGTTCAGTGATATAGCCATTACACTAACTGCTGGTCCCCCCAGTTTGAATTTCAAGCTGCTGGGTCCAGGACTCAAACTATACTTGGCCATGTGGGAGTTCAGTGCCTTAACCACTATATCACCTGCCCTGAAGTAGACATTTAAAAAAATTATTTATTTAATTTCATTTGTTGTTATTATTTTTTAATTTGACCAGAGAGAGACAGAGACAGAGAGAAAGGGAAAGTGAGAAAGCAAGCCACCAGGTCCAGGACGCAAACCTCAGTTGGCCATGTAGGAATCCAGTGCCTTTAACCACCACGCCATCTGCTGGCCCTGAAAAAAAAATTTTTTTAAGAGAGATTTTTTGCTATAGGATGTATGCGATCTCCAGAGAGACAGAAAGTGAGAAATTACCCCTCTCGGGGGAATGGCCATGCCACATCCCTTCTTCATTTTTCTCTCAGGATTTCGGGCATGCACGTACATGCACCCGGCATGAGTTTTAAGCCACCAGGTGTGGGACTTGAACCACTGTTGACTACATGGAAATCCAGTGATATAACCATTACACCATCTGCTGGCCCCCCCAGTATGAGATGTAAGCCACCGGGTCCAGGACTCAAACTGTGATTGACTACATGGGAGTCCAGTGACGTAACTATTACGCCATCTACTGGTCCCTAGAAAATTTTTAATAGGCAATTGATGTTAAAAAAAAAAAAATTGGAGGGGGCTGGATGAGAGTGCAGCCGTAACACAGTGCTCGGTAAGGCTGACGCACATGTGAAGAACGTTCTAGGTTTCTGTCCAGAGAGCTCCCTGAGCATGCCGGGCATGTATGTGCCCATGATCGAGGCTGCTAAGGCTAGGGCTTGATCACAATGTGGAGATGTTTTGGAGCGCCTCTCTCTCTCGTGTAAAAAAGAAAGAAACTTACAAAAAAATCAAACAGGATATGTTCCAGTATAAATTGCTAGAAAGGTTTTCTTTTTTAAAAAAATCATTTTGTTTTTATTTTACTATAGGGTATGTTGCCAGAGAGAGAGAGAGAAAGCGAGCAAAAGTGAGAACTCATCCCCTAGGGTGATGGCTGTGCCACAGTGCCCTACTCCATTATTCTCTTGGGATTTTGGGTGTGCACACTCACATGCCCTGTGTGTTTTTCAAGCCAGTGGGTCCTGGATTTGAATTATGTAATCAGCCATGTGAGATCCAGCCACCTTAATGTCTGTGTCACCTGCTGGCCGAAAGTGATTTCTTTACATAGGTTATTTTATTTAATAGTTACTATAGTTTTATAAGGTAGAGAGTATTATTATTTTAAAGAAGAAGAAACTTGGGCAGAAAGTAGTTAAATAGCTTGCCTAAGGTTATAGCTAGTAAATGGCAGATGTGGGATCCAAACTCGCACAATTTGATTCTAGAACCAATGCTGTTAACCAGACACCTAGAATATTGGCTTTTTATGTGAAAACATTCATTTTGTCTGTTTTGCCATCATTCACACTAATAGTGAACTTTTTTTTTTGTTATTGTTACTGTACCTTTTAGTTCTTTTGACCGTCTAAATGCTGTAAAGATACTTATGTTTAAATCTTTCATTATTCCTCTGAGTGGACATGTTGCAAATATTGGCACAGAGTAGCCATTTTATAGTTTCCTCTTCTTCCTTAGTAATCTTTTAACATAATGAGACTTTAGAAAACTACAACTTTGTATAAAGAAAAAGGATCTCCAGATACTTAGTAATATTTTTATTTCTTGTGGCAGCATTTCTATGAGGCATAGGAAGCAAAAGCGCTAATGACAGTGTATGTTACTGTTATATTGATAAATGTGCTAAATTTTTTTCCGTTTCTATTTGTAAGGAAATCTACCACTGTCGAAGACAGATCAAATATAGCAAAGACAAGATGTGGTATTTGGCAAGATTGGTAAGCTAAAATGACAATTACCATACGATACATAAGAAGCTCTGCTTTCCCCCTTGGATTTGAAAGAAAAAAAAATTATCCTGATTTCTCCCAAAAGTGAAGAATATATTCAATAGCTACACGTTCAAACAGCTAATAGGTAATTTTTAAAAAAATTGCCCAGAGATGTATGATTTTGCTTTATTTTTACTTTTCTTCTGAGAAAAGAAATCACATTGGATAGATTTTTAAATAACCATGGCATGAAGAAACTGGTTTGAAACAGAGAATCTGGGAAGTTTTATTTATCTGTTAAAATTGATTCAACCTATTTCAAAACTGTTGCCTCAAGTTTTTTCCCCCCTGGAAAATGAATTTATAGATGAGGAGAGACAAAAGCAGCGAATGGACCTGCAATACATTTATTCCGTAGAAGTCTTTAATGCTGTATAGTTCTTGCCAACCGTCGTCTCTGTCATGTCTGCTTCCTCTTAATGTTATGGAAACTGTTACAGTCTGGGTTTTCCAGTTAAATGTTCAAGTTTGATTTTGACTTTGAGGGTGTTATCCCTTCTCAAACTTGATTTTCTTCTCTTCAGTCTGAGTTTAGCTTACTGTTTTTAGAAGTTACTTGAATTATATGAAGCTTTTACTTTTCATTTAAAAAGGAATATTGACTGGAAACTAACTTGTTTCTCCTCTGTTGTCTGTCACCCTTTATTCTAGATACGAGGAATGTCTATTGATCAAGCTTTGGCTCAGTTGGAATTCAGTGACAAAAAGGGGGCCCAAATAATTAAAGAGGTAAATTTGTAAGATTTTGGGGGAAAGGGAATGGATGGGGTACATGTAGCTGTCTTACAGGTTTTAGTAAACTCAGCCTCAATGCTGAATTCCCAGAGTTTTCTGGTATAAATGCTCATTTTATATAAAACAGATTTAGGGGATTCAGTTTTATTAATGTTTTTGTACCTTAAAATGTTGTGTGCTTTAATCACTTTTTTCCAAGATGTTTTTATTATTCCAGACATTCATTTATGTTTTTATTGTCTATCTCTGAAGTGAGACAAATGTGCCTGGCCTGTTTTTCAGGCTGTCTGGTTTGAGGCTTGAACCATGAAGCCATGTGGGATCCAGCACTCTAACCACCATACCAGCGGCTGGTCCACGGTTTTTTGTTAGTTAATTTGTTTGTTGTTATCAATTCCAAATAAGCAAGAACTTATGATTTTATGAGTAGTTGAATGGAAAGAGCACTGGACTGGAACTCAAGAGACTCGAAATCTAGTTCTTTCTCTGGTGTTTTCCTTTTGACCCCGGGCAAGACACTTAACCTGTTGGTTCCATTTTCTCATCTGTAAACGAGATGGGATTGGGTTAGATGACCACTAAGGAGCCCTCTAACTACACATAACTGATTCACTACATACAAATGTGCTGATGGTAATTTTGCTGACTCATTTCGTGAATAGGAGTGTTCCCGTTTCAAAAAGCTTAGTTGACTGTTGTCCCTTTCCATCTGGCGATATCAGCATTATTTCATTATTTTCTTTATCTTCAGTTAATTCCCACCTATGGTTACTTCTTATCTTTCAGTTTAGTAGTTGAATAATTGAGATGATTGGGCTCCAACTTTAAGAGGTTCCATTGTATTGTTGTGTTTTACTGCATTTAATGCAATTCAGAAGGCATTTACTCAGTATACTTAGCCTATACTACATTCTTTATCTTTAAAGAAGTGAGTTGGCTTCTGTGATTTCTAACAATTGACCTATTTTTAGAAATGTATTCTGGAGGAAGTTAACTTAATTCAAAATATCTGTAGAGAACACATTTAATAATTAACCTTTTTTAGAATTATTTTATTTATTTATCCATTTATGTATGTATGTATGTATTTATTTATTTATTTGGGCCAGAGAGAGAGTGAGATAGAGAGAAAGAGAAAGTGAGAAAGCAAGCTGCCAGGTCTGGGACTTGAACTGCGGTCAGCCATGTGGGAGTCCAGCACTCTTAACAACCACACCACTGCCAGCCCCGGTAATAAAATTTTTTTGGTGGGGGAGAGATTTTTGCTATAGGGCGCGTGCGCTCGCCAGACAGACAGAGAGAGACAGAGAGACAGAAAGCGAGAAATCACCCCCCAGGGGGGATGGCCACACCGCAATCCCTTCTCCATTCTCCTCTCGGGATCTTGGGCATGCACGCACACGCACCCGGCGTGAGTGTAAAGCCACCGGGTCCGGGACGCGAACCGCAGTCGACTACGTGGGAATCCAGCGACATAGCCATTTACGCTAACTGCTGGTTCCCCGATAATTAAATTTTTATAAAAAGTCTCTAGTATGATTTTCTCTACTTGCCTAATGTTGTTAATGGTTACTTTGGAGCCAGAGTTTAAGAATTTCTTTTTTTTTTTTTTTCTTAGAGATTTTTGATATAGAATATGTGCGATCACCAGGGAGACAGAGACAGAGAAAGAGAAAGCAAGAAGTCATCTCCTGAGGGCATGGCCATGAGGAGTCCCTTATCCACTCTCCTCTCAGGATGCTGGGCATGCATGCACAAGCACCCAGTGTGAGTTTTAAGCCGCCGAGTCCGGTGCTCAAACTGCGGTTGATTACATGGGAGTCCAGTGGTGTAACCATCTCCTGCCATCTCCTCCTTCACAGCTTTTATGTGCTGCCTTTTTTTTTTTTAAAGAGAGATTTTTGCTTTGGGGGTGTGCACTCACTGGAGACATAAGAGAAACAGAAAGAGCAAGTGAGAAATCAGCCCCCATGGGGGATGGCCACACTGCAATCCCTTCTCCTCTTGGGATTTTGGGCACACGCACACACACACACACACATGTATGTCCGGTGTGAGTTTCAAGCCACCAGGTCCAGGACTTGAATTGCGGTCGACCTTGTTGGAGTCCAGTGCTGAGTTAACCACTACCCTACCTGTTGGCCTCTACACTGCCATTTAAAACTTAACAGGACAGAGCATGCTCCCTGCATTTGTAATTCTTGTCTAAGGAAGGAAAGCAGACTGTCCCTTCTTAGTACTCTGATCATATGATGCTTTCTTTTTAAAATTGACTATAAGATGGAGGCATGTGATAACCAGTCCTATTACAGAGATAACAAGAGATGAGAAATTTAATTCCATTTTTTAGTTCAAAGTTAGCTGTATAAATGCCTTTCGTTTCTTTGTTTAAGGTTCTTTTAGAAGCACAAGATATGGCTGTGAGAGACCACAATGTGGAATTCAGATCCAATTTATATATAGGTAAGATTTTCAGTATTCACCTTAGAAAACGTCTTTGATATCTAACTACTTAGGACTGGAATGTGAGTGAAAATTGCTGTTAATTCCTAAGGATGCCTTAAACATGTCAATGTAAATCCATTGTATTTGGTAACAGCTACACTATTTTATTCTTGCTTATTCTGTAATAAGACTGAGATCATGAGATTGTGAAACTTGGTGCTAGTAATTATTAAATAATGGATACCCAATCTGGTACATGGAGTCATTCTTTAATCATAATAAAACAAAGAATAAGCATAAGTACTGGGGTTTTTTGTTTGTTTTTTAATAGAGATTTTTGATTGAGGGCGCATGAGCTCGTCAGACAGAGCCAGTGAGAGGGAAAATGAGAAATCACCCCCCACCCCAAAGAGATTGGCCGCACTACAGTCCCTTCTCCTCCATTCTCCTGGGATCGTGGGCACACATGCCTGGTGTGATTTTTGAAGCCACTGGGTCTGGGATAGGAGCTGTGGTTGGCCATGTGGGAGTCCAACAACGTAACTGCTATGCTGTATACTGGTCCCAGTAAATTTTTTTTTTTTTTTTTTTAGAATTATATTTATTGAACTTTATTTAATTTATTTATTTTAAATTTGACCAGAGAGAGACAGAGAGAGAGAAAGTGAGAAAGCAAGCCACCAGGTCTGGGACTAGAACTGCGGTTGGCCATGTGGGAGCCCAGCGCTCTTAATCATCATGGCACCTGCCGGCCCCTGGTCCCAGTAACTTTATTTATTTATTTTTTTTCTTTTTTCGTTAACTAGAGGTGGTAAATAAAGGATCACAAGTGGACTTAGAAAATCTTTATTGGGACCAACAGATGGCATAATGGTTATGTTGCTGGACTCCCACATAGTTGACCACAGTTTGAGTCTTGGACCCAGCGGCTTAAAACTCACACTAGGTACGTGTGCATGCCTGCCAAAATCCTGAGAGGAGAATGGAGGAGAAGGAATTGCAGCGTGGCCATCCCCCTAGGGAGTGATTGCTCGTTCTCTCTCTCTGTCCCTCTGGTGAGCGCATGTGCCCTATAGCAAAAACCTCTCTCAAAAAAAAATCTTTATTATAATGTTTCAATCCAGATGCCTAATCCATAAATGTGTCCTATCAGTTTTCTTACAGTTTTACTTATTTCTTTAATGAGAGAGAGGGAGAGAGAAAAGGACAAGCTCCTTTAATGGGATCTCACACTGCGATCCCCCACTCCCGGCCTTTCCAACAAGCAAGGATTGTGAGCACCTGTGCATGGCGTGTTGGGGTCTGTTGAGGAACCAAAGCCTTGCTCTTCCATATGGATCTGGCATTCCTTGAGTGCACTTTGCTACTGTGCCAGCCACTAGCCAGGTGTCTTCCAGTTTAACCCTCCGGTGATTAGAAGGGAGTATCTGTTGAACTGTAAAAGCCAAGGGACCTTCGAGGCTCCGATGGCCCTCACGTGTTTGTTTCCTTTGTTATTATGTCTTAAAGCATTAGTGGTGTTTTTGTGTTTGGGCCACATCAAAGGAAATCAGTGTAAGTGAAAATGCTTTGGGAAGCATAATGTGCTGTGTGGATATAAGGGATTTTGGCCACACACCTTCACACAGCTCTTTTCCTAGAAGATTGGTAGTTATTACAAAGCGCTCCCCCTCCTCCTAACACCACAGGAAAGGGGAGCGGAGTAGGAATTACTATTTTCTCTCATTTCAGCAGCCATTACCCTTAGCCTCAGCAGTTTTATAATCAGAGATGTTGATGTCAAAGCAAAATTTTCTCAGTCTGCCAAGCCTATGTATGAAGACTGTTTTATCTTAAAGATATTTTAGATTCAAGATATGAGGAACTACTGTCTTCCAAATTAGGAGGTGGGGAATGCTGAATCTTCACAGGGAGATTAGTGTTCTTTATCATGTTTCAATGATTATAGTTAAAAATTAATCCCAAATTCTGCTGTGTCACATCACCTTCGCCCTAATAGAGATATTTATTCTGGTTAAGTTACAAATCTCACCTCAGCTCACCTGGAATTAATGCCGGCAGCCACACCTCCTTGTGAAATTCAAATTAGTTATGATTTTCAATTGAAATATCTTATTTTAAAGCTGAATCTTGTGCAAGTATTTTTATTCCAACACATGCACAAATGCAGAGGGACATCAGGATAGCAACGCAGAAGATGCAAGTCCACAGTAGATAATTGTCAGCATTTTCTCCCGGCAGTGACATTAACAAACAGTGCTGGGGAGGGCTCAGAATCATTGCATGGGGTGAGATGAATGAGGAATGAGACCATTTGCTTAAAACCTCTTGGTAAACTTTTCTGCTCTCTGATTCTGAGTATCAAATAAGTTTAATTTTATTCTATTTCATAGGAATAGGATTCTTAGGTGATAGATTTAGTAATGGCATTCAAACACAAATGTAGTAGGGTTTGTTTTCAGATCCTTTTTAATAACTCTTTAAATCCTTTTCAGTAACCGCAGTAAAGAGAGAGGCCGAGGGACTTATCGTTACCCCCAATGAAGGAGCGAAGTCTAGTGTTGCCATTAAGCAGAAGTACACTTACCCAGTCCTACATAAGCAGGCCTTAATTCACAGGTGTCCTCATGCACTTTCTGCAGAAAAAGCCCTGCCTTTCCTGTATTCTCTTTTCGTCTAGTTCTGTGTAAAATACCACTTTTTGTAAGTAGGGTAAATAAGTTTGGCTTCATCTTGTGATTTTAAAAACTCTTCATTTGCTAAGTATTTTAATGCCTAACTTCATAATCAGAAATGGCGAGTACTTTCAGGAAGATAAAATAGCTTACTTATCTATTTATTTAATTTTATTTATTTATTTATTTATTTATTTATTTATTTATTTTTGGCCATAGCACTTGTTCTGGCCAGACAGAGAGAGAGGGAAAGTAAGAAGGCACCCACCAGGGGGAATGGCCATGCTGCAGTTCCTTTTTCACTTTCCCTTCGGGATTTTGGGCACATATGCATACAAGCCTGGTGTAGTTTTCAGCCTACTGGGTCTGGTACTTTGAACTGTGCAGTCAGCCATGTGGGAGCCTTAACCTCCATGCCATATGTTGGCCCAAGGTGATTTTTTTTTTAAAAAGAATTGTTCATTATATTTATTATTATTATGATTATTTTCGCTATAGGGCACGTGCGCTCGCCAGACAGACAGAGACATAGAGACAGAAAGCAAGAAATCACCCCCCAAGGGGGATGGTCACGCCGCAATTGCTTCTCCTCCATTCTCCTCTTGGGATCTTGGGCACACACGCACATGTGCCTGGCGTGAGTTATAAGCCACCAGGTCCGGGATGCGAACCGCGGTTGACTATGTGGGAGTCCAGCGACATAGCCATTACGCTAACTGCTGGTTTCCTATTTTTTAACGTTTGCTATAGAGTATGCACACTCATCACAGACAGACAGACAGAGAGGGAAAGTGAAAAAGCAAGCCTCTGGGTTTGGGACTCAAACTGTAGTTGGCTATGTGGGAGTCCAGTGCCTTAACCACTGCACCGTCTGCTGGACCCCCAAGATGAAATATCTTAATAGGACATACTAAGTAGTTTAATCACTCTTATTTACCAAACTTCCCTGACACACAATCATTTGAGGTTCTTATTAAAAAGACAAATTCCCAGGCACAGATCCAATGGATCTGAAACTTCTGGAGCAAAGCTTTGGAAGTTATCTGTTTAATAGGGTTCTTTCCCATAAAATGTAGGAAAGTGACTTTTGTCGTCATATTCTTGGAAAAGACCTAGACATTTTATTCCATAGACCTCTCTTAGAGTTTTGAAAGATTAGTTACTCGATGTCTGTCGCTGTGGTTCCGCCATGGCACGCTCAGTATCCTGACATAGTGTAGGCATGTTAAGGGAAATGCTTTTTTGGTAGCATATGTTCTCATTATACGGTAATTCCTTCAAATGCCTGTCATCAGTCTAATGCTAATACCTGGTGTTGCATGACCACAGATTTAGAAAGTTCATTTCCTTTTCAAACTTATAATGATGACTAATGATACTGTGAATAGGCCTTAACAAGTGAATATGGGCTAATAAAATGTCATTGCTTAGTGATTCATGGTATCTAAAGTGATTCAATTTAGGGCAAGTGATCGACTGACTTGGTACATCAGTCTTCTGGGCTCAGAGTCATGAAAGGGGGAAGGGAGGGCTTCTAATGTTAACATTTCAAGATTCACATTTACCTAAATACTAGAGAAACAGGAAATGTTGTGAATATGTAGCTGTTGAGCATTCTTTTAAAAAAATTCATGGTGAGGCATGTGCGTGTGTACAGGGGGAAAGGCTATTCTCCACAGTGCTCAATCATGGCACTGCCCTCTTCCTCCAGTACTTCAGCCCTCCAGGGTCCTGGGTACGTGTGTACACACCCAGCAGGTTTTCTTTCTTTCTTTTTGTCTTGAGAGATTTTTTGCTATAGTGTACATGTGCTTGCCGGAAAGAGACAAAGAGACAGAAAACAAGAAATCAGCCCCCAGGGGAGATGACTACACTGCAGTCCCTTCTCCTCCACTCTCCTCTTGAGTTTTTGGGCACACAGGCACATGTGCCTGGCATGAGTTTTAAGCCACTGGGTCCAGGACTTGAACCACGGTCTACTATGTAACAGTCCAGTGATGTAACCATTACACCATATGCTGGGTCTCCCCAGCAAGTTTTCAAACTGATTTGGCCAGGGACTTGAACTGTGGTTGGTGTGCGGCTTCCAGAATGCTACCAACTGTGCCACAGAGGTGGGGCCAGTCGCTATCTATAGAGGAGTTCTGGTCATTCGCATTTTTGTGATGTCTTAATACTTTCTCATTCTGAAAGTATTTGAGTATCTTCAGCACACATACCTAATTGCATGCATTTCCTCTCAGGATTTTGGCACATGCGCCCAGCATGAGTTTCAAACCATTAGGTCCAGGCCCCAAACCATGGTCAGCCACATGAGAGTCCAGCACCTTAACCACTATGCCACCTGCTGGCCTCCAATACAAACATTGTAAATTTGGTCGAGGAAGTGGTTGTTGCAGGTGAAACATGAACACTTCGTAGAGTGTGATTTGGGGCCCAAAATAATAATACAGATAAATGGTATTGGAGTAGAGAAGAAAAGGTCAGCAGGGGTTAGAATAGTCACGGAGATTTTCTAGGACAATTTGGCTTTCGGGGATAAGTTTTGGGGAATCTGGAGGAACGTCCAGCAGAGCAGATGTTGACACAGGGTGACCACGTACGCAAAGGCACACAGGGTGGAATGTGTGGTATGGTGAGCAGGATGGTCCAAAGGAGGTGGGGTAGATATAATTAGTAGGTTAGGCCTTGATTTCAGGAGACTGAACATAACTGTGGAATTTGGTTCAAACTGTTGAAGTGGAGCCACAAGAAGTTTTTTAGGCATGAGATTTGTGTTACTAAGGTAGTGTTTTGAGACTATTAACTATAAGCAGTAGTGTTTTTATAGAATTATTTCATTTTTCACTTTAATTAATTAATTTTTTATTTGACCAGAGAGGTACGGAGAGAGAGAGAAAAAAGGAGAGAGAGAGAGGGAAAGTGAGAAAGCAAGCTGCCAGGTCCAGGACTTGAACTGTGGTTAGTCATGTGGGAGTCCAGTGCCCTTAACCACCACACCACTTGCCAGCACCTAAGCAGTAATTTTGATATTGTAGTCTGTGAGGCACCCAGGAAGAATTCAGAAGTATTTGTTCATTGAGTAAATGGCACAGTTAAGGACCTTCCCCTACTAATGTTTTAATTTGAAACAGATCCACATGACAGTGTCAAATATATTGGGCTTATGTATTTTGTTTCATTAATTATTTTTTGTCTGTGAGTGTATGCACTTGTGAGAGAGACACAGAGAGAGCATTCCGAAACGGAGCGTGATCATGTCCTTTTCCCTCCGTTTCTCCATCTCATCAGGATTTGGGGCATGTATGCACATGCATCCAGTGTGTTTTCAAGCCACCAGGGCTGAGATGTGAGCTGCCCTTACATGTGGCTTCCTATGCATGGCACCTAACCTCTGCACTAGGCTGTGGGGGCTGGTCCAGTTTATTTCATTTTAACTAAAATGGCTCCATGTACAAAAGCAGTTTGAAATTCCTAACGTACGGTTGATAAATTGGCAAGAGATTAGAGGAGAGGAGACCAGAAGCTACTTTAGAAGTCCTGATTTCAGTCTGACCTCAGGGTGGCTGTGTTGGGTATAGGAAGAATCCTGGTTCAGAGGAATTAATGTTTTTATTCCGACATAAAGAAATTGTGGTATCAGGTCTGACAGGATAGGAGATGCTGCTCTATGACTTTAGGATGAAATGACTGGCATTTAGTAGTAACCAGCTCTTGTGCAGATCTCCGCAGTGTGTGCTTTGGAGAGGGAAGGGAGGCGAGGGTTGATGTAGCCCGTGATAGGGCCGATGACGTGTTTTGAGACGTTGGAGAGTGCAGTGCAGCAAGCCAGTTTCACCGTGGTGGCGTTCCTTGTCCTCGGTGTGGTTGGAAGTCCCTGCTCAAGTCGGGTAGGCTGGCGGTTCTGGATAGATGCGGCCTGTGTTTGTCAAATGCTCCTCAGACGGTGTCCTCCCCTTTTCTCAGTCTCATCTTTCTTATTTGTATGTTTTTCCTTGATAGGCTAATCCAGGGGACCTGGTGGTGCCTAACTGTAAAGTGATTGGTGTAATGCTGCTTTCTCTTTGAAAATTCTCAAACTCACTTCTTCAGTGCCTGGTAGATGAAACTGATAGAAGGGCAGCAGCTCTTTCCTTATCTCACTGAGCCCTCGGTAGCTTGCTTAATCACGGTCATCCTTAGCTTTCTCTTTGGCAAAGCTTGGATGCTTCTGCTAAAATCCACTCTGGGGAGAATATTGTGGTCAGAGGGTTGTCAAGTATGTATGTTGACATTTATAAAGTTATGTTGCAGTAAGAATGTAAGAGTGGTGAGTATTGAAATGGATGATGTTTATATGTAGTCTATATTTATTTACTTATTTATTTTTTGTTATAGAGTATGTGCACTCACCAGAGAGAGAGAAAGAGAGAGAAATCACCCTCCAGGGGAGATGGCCATGCCATAGTCCCTTCTCCTCTAGTCTCCTCTCAGGATGTTTGGACAGCACTTACACGCATCTAGCATATATTTTACTTTTAAAAAAGGTTCATTAACTCAATAACTAAGTGCATTCAGAAAATACTAAAAGTGGCTACTACTCTGATTTATTTGAGGATGAACAGGCAAACAGATTTCTTATATACTGTTCAGAAGATTCTTCAAATTGTAATGGTCAAGCTTCGATGTGCAAAATGAAGGAGGGGAGCTCAGGGGGCAGTTATGATGCTAGAGTTCCCAAAATTGGCTGTGAAAGAATTTTGGGTGAGGGCTTGCAGGTGGCATAGTGGTTAAGACACTGGATTCCCACATGGCAAACCATAGTTCAAGTCCCAGACCAGGCAACTTGCTTTCTCCCTTTCCCACTCTCTGTCTCTCTCACTCTCTCTCTTTTTTTTTTTTTTTTTTTGAGAAGTTTTTGCTATAGGGCACGTGCGCTCACCCGCAAGACAGAAAGAAATCACTCCCCGAGAGGGGAAGGCCACGCCACAGTCCCTTCTCCTCCAGTCTCCTCTTGGGATCTTGGGCACGCACGCACACGCACCCGATGTGAGTTTAAGCTACCAGGTCCGGGACTCGAACCGTGGTCGACTACCTGGGAGTCCAGTGACATAGCCATTACGCTAGCTGCTGGTCCCTGTCTGTCTCTCCTTTTCCTCTGTCTGTCTCTGGTCAAATTAAAAAATAATAAATAACATTAAATCTTTAAAAAATTTTTTCAGGTGATAGAGTGGGTATGTTCAGGATGCAGTTTCTAAGGCTCACTCCAAATATACTAAATTAGAATCCCCGGAGATGGATATCTTGGCATCACAATTCAATTGTGTTTCCCTAAGTTAGTCTGAGGACCATTACCTGGGAACCACTGGCATTAGTGCATTCTCATTATAATTAGAAAAAAAGTTGAGTCTTTTCGCCTCAGCAGTGTCCTGTGTAACCTGCCCCCCTGCCTTCATCTCCGGTCTCTTCCCTGCTTGTACCAGTCTTCCCCTAATGTACTGTGTTTCAGCATGCCAGTCTTCTTTTCCAAAAATAAGCCAAACACATACCCACCACTGGGCCTTTGCAGTTGTTCCCTCTGCCTGGATACTCTGCCTTTAGAACTTTGCATGGATAATTCATTCTGGGCTTAGGTCAAACGTTTCTTCATCAGGGATGTCTCATTTTTATTATGTTTTTAGGTTCCTGCACATGTGCACCTGGCGTGATTTTCAGATCTCCAGGTTGGACTCAAACTGGTCGTCCATGTGGAAGTCCAGCCAGCACTTTAACACCCTAATCCGAAGTTGTCCCTAGCACCCCACCAGTCTCTATCACTGTAATTTATTCCTAATACTTAACCATTCACTGAGTATTCTTTATTTTATTTTATTTTTTTAAGGCTTTTGCCATAGGGAGTGTGTACTCATTGGAGAGGGGACAGAGAGAGGGAAAATGAGAAATCAACTCCCACCCCTACCCCCACCCAGGAAGAGGGGATGGTGAAGACACAATCTCTTCTCCTCCAGTCTTCTCTTGGGACTTTGGGTACACACACACACACACACACACACACACACACACACACCTCGCATGATTTTCAAGTCACCATGTCCAAGACTGGAACCATGGGTGTTTTTTTTTTTTGTTTTGGCTATAGGGCGCATGTGCTCGCCAGAAAGACAGAGAGAGACAGAGAGATAGAAAGTGAGAAATCACCCCCCAGGGAGGATGGCCATGCTGCAATCCCTTCTCCTCCATTCTCCTCTCGGGATCTTGGGGATGCACGCACACGTGCCCGGTGTGAGCTTAAGCCACCAGGTCCAGGACTCGAACCGCAGTCAACTACATGGGAGTCTAGCGACATCGCCATTACGCTAACTGCTGGCCCCACCTAGCATGATTTTTAAGCTGCTGGGTCCAGGACTCAAACTTTAGTCAGCCATGTGGGACTCCAGCACCTTAACCACTGTGCCAGCTGCCAGCCTGAAATGGTCACATTATGTTCTGTCTTTCCTCTCCCGGCCGTACACTGCATGGAGGCATAGCCTTGCCAGTCTTCTCTCATGTTTATCTAGCACCTAAATTAGTGCCCGGATCTTAGTACTCAGGAGATTCTTATTCTGTGATAGTCCTGCTTCAGCCCACCAGCAAGCTCATGTAGTCTTAGAATCTAGTCCAGGAGAGGCACAGAAATTTCTTAACTGACCTGATCAAGCTGTACTCTTCAGATAGCAATCATTTTCTGTAATTCTTTTTCCTCCCTGTCTAGCTGAGTCTACCTCAGGGCGAGGCCAGTACCTGAAGCGCATCCGTTACCATGGCAGAGGTCGCTTCGGGATCATGGAGAAGGTTTATTGCCATTATTTCGTGAAGTTGGTGGAAGGACCCCCACCCCCACCTGAGGCGCCAAAGACTGCAGTTGCCCGGGCCCAAGAGTACATTGGGGAGCTCCGTAGCCGGACCATCATTCACGCCCTGTGATGGGGTTCCAGACCCCACAGTGTATGTATTTTGCCCTTTATTTTTAAAAAATAAACAGAAATTAAACACAAATGGATTTCATGATTTGTCATTGAATTATTGAACCACACTTATAACTACTAGTTTTGTATGAATATTTATAAGGCTTAGCCCATTCCTCTTCAGCCTCTGGGCATCTTCCTTTGCATTTGCTACTTGAAAGGGGAAATCAGCTTTTAACCAGTGACAGTATAATTCAAAAGAGTTTTTGAGTACAAGTTGAAGGGAAGGTTAACTTTCCAACTTGTGTCCTGCAGGTGGCAGTTTTGATACTGGACTCGCATGGAATGTTCTAGCTAGGAAGGGTCCGTATTTCACTTGGCTTTTTTCTGGTGACTAGGGAGAGTGGAGACAAGCATGGCTGTGTGTTGTTTTCTTGTAGTATTTTTATTTAGTTAGCAGTTCTGTTTTTCCTCTTATTGGCCAGTGGGTAAGAGATTATATTTTTTGCACTAATTTCAAATTGTAGTCGGTTTTTTTGGGTATACTAATCTAAAACTTGAAAAGCCCTTTAACTTTAATAGTGTTCTCTAGTTAATTAGTAAAGCCCAGTTTCATATTGATATCCCCTAACAGTGTTTCCTGTTAATTGAATATCTTAAGATTAATTTTCTTTCCTTTTTTTTCTGAACAAAGAAAGCATTCCCATGGGGCATAGCCATACCGCAACCCCCTCTCCCATCCCTCTGTCCTCCTGTCAGCACTCTGGGCACATACGCCTGTCAGTGTCTCCTGAGCTTCTGAGACTGGGACTCAAATGTGGCTGTGTGGGATCCAGCCACACCACCCACCAGGCCACTGGCTGACCCAGGATTGATTTATTTTTCAGGGCGAATTGAATTACTGAGAGGAATTCAACCAAGCTCATCATTGCATTCTCAAATAAGGCAGTAGGTGGCGCTCACTTGTTAGCAGAAGATCAGATTAGCATTAGCTACCGTGTGGCTGTCAGCGATACGCATGTTTCATGACAAGAAGCCCTCTTCCTCCACAGCCCTAGTCCAGAGTTTCTCAAACTTCTGTAATGGAGAGGAGTGACTGCTTGTTAATGCGAGATGTTTGGATTCCACCATAATGATTCTGATTCACTGGGTCATAGAGGGTCTACTTTCAGAAATGTAGTGTTTTTTGTATTGTTTTTAGGAGAGATTTTCTGTACAGCGCGTGTGCTCGCTGGAGGGACAGAGACAGAAAGTGAGAAATCATCCCCCAGCAGGGATGGCCATACCACACTCCCTTCTTCATTTTCTTGGGATTTGGGGCACACACTGATGCACATGTGCCTGGTTGAGTGTTTTAAGCCACCAGGTCCAGGATTGGAACCACGGTTGACTACGTGGGAGTCTAGTGACATAACAGTTATTCCATCTGCTGATCTCCTGAAAATGTAGGTCTTAAACAGGTACTTCCAGGTGATCCTGTTGTAGGAGACTATGTCTAGTAGAATGAAGAATGTAGTCTTATGCCATGTTTAATATGGCATTAATTATAGCTCATATTTACCGGGACCTGTTATTTGCTGAGCTCTGTGCTAATCTGCATTCTTCACAACATTCTGCAAACATAGATGTTGTTTTGCCACTTTATAAAGGAAGAAACTGAAGCACATGCATGCAAATAACTGCCACAGAGTCACACAGCATGTAATATCAGAGCCGTGATTTAAACTAGGTCTCTAAAGGACCTGGTTTCCATACCTAGAAACAGGTGGGTTTTTGTCCCTGTCCACTTAACCCATTGTGTGAGTAGGAAGCCACAAGTGCTCATTGGAATAAGCCAGGTTGAGACTTCGATTTCTGGGTCCTGAGCTGGTGCAGCACGGAGTCCCCAAACTTCCACTGGAGTGGCCAAAGACCACTTCCTTCTAGACCTCACATGCTCAACAGCCCGAATGGGAACTTGGCAGGTCCCTTCCCTCCCTGGCCACCATTTCATTCATCTATGAAACCAGAGGCTCTGCTCTCTGTAGACAGCCTTCTTCGGAGTCAGTTGGAAAATGCTCCTGAGCCATGCTCTCAGGCTAAATGAATCAGGATCTCTAAGTGGGAGACCAGGCGACCTTACCGCTACCAAATGTCCCAGGTGTTGTGGAGTGGAGAGTTACAGGACCTGGGATCTCCGTGTTCTCTTTCAGCAGGCATATGCTCCATGATTCCTAACCTTGGAAAAGCGACTTCCTCAGGTGTGATTAAAATAAGCCAGGTGGTGGCACAAGCTCCATAACTGTAAATTATGTAAATGAAGGTTCTGCTTCAATCGGGCTGTGGAAGGTATTTTGAAAGTGGTAAGAAAAAAAACAGACCCTGGAGTCTAATAAAAATTTGCTTGTGATCTAAGGTGAAGGCTTTATCTGAAACTGCTTCTGGTGTGTTGTAAAGCGTGATACTTAGCATTCTCCACTACCACTGAAGGGCAGGACGCTGGCTCCATACACCTCACAGAGAGGCCCTTACCCAGTTATGGCTGCACCTACACTCAGTCCCACCCCATGTGGGGCCAGTGATTTTAGTTATTCGCTCTCTGGGCACACATGCACGTTCACCAGGCCTGAGTTTCAAGCCACCCTGTCTGGGATTCAAACTACATCCACCATGTGGGACTCCAGCGCCTTAACCACTACACCACCTGCTGGCCCTCTCTATTTCCTATTTTACACCAGATCATCTGTCCTAAAAAACTTGACCCCTACTCTATTACCTTCTTCATTCAACTCCCACCCCCAAAAGAAAACCTGCACACCCACACACAAACATTTAGTTCTTGGGGTGTCTGAAATAATTCATGCAAGAATCCCCAAAAAAGGTAGGAACCCCCTGTTTTTATTCTTAACCTTTTGAGGCAAGATCATTTCTCAATGTGATCCATGCCAAGCAGTGAAGGTGCTGCTCTGTCTTTGCATGGATCAGACCTCCTTAGTCTGTAACCCTAAAGCAGAGAGAAGCAATTGGGGGCCTTCCATGTAGAAAGTGGAGTCAGGACACTAGGAATGTGAATGTATATCCATGCCACTCAGGAGCTTTTATGCAGGTGTAAGAAACATACGTGAAAGTAGTAGTCACAAGATTGTTTAATAGGAAACAACTGAATGCAACTCCACATGTACTGCTGCAAATTGAAGCTTTGGGTCAGCCTGCGGTGTGGTTAGGGTGGCTGGATACCCCATAGCCGACTGCATCATTCAAGTCCTGGACCCGACAGCTTGAGAAATGCATTGGGCATGTGTAGCCAAATGGAGAAGGGATTGCAGTATGACCATGACCCATGGAGGGTTAGGGTTAGGGTCTCTCTGGCAAGAGCACAAGCCCACCGGCATGCATGCATGAACAAGAAAGAGAAAGGAAGGCAGGAGGAGAGGAAGAAGTAGGCCAAGCTTGTGTGAAAGCTTCAGTTTATGGGGAAGGAGGGTAGGAAGTATGTACCTGTCCGTTCTCTCCCTGATGCCTACCCCCTCACTCCTGTTTTCCTTCCTTCCTTTTGACTTTGATGCCCCGTCTGCTGGGGTCTGTTTTTCTGTTGGTCGATTTTGCTGTACTGGGTGCTTCCTTTGCCGTTTTCTAATCATTTTGTAACACACATGCTGACTCTTCCCTTCCCCTCTTCTCCTGGGAAAGTACGATGAATAAAGACTTACTGTCACTGGAAAAAAGAAAAAAGTTTGTCCTGTAGGGACTTGGAATAAATGACTATTTTTCACTTCTGGCCCAAGGAGGCTCATAAGAATTTCACTTTGGATAGGAAAGGATGCCAATATTAATATTGAGGTAGACTCTGAGGAAAAAGTGTTCAATGAACTTTAAAGTGAGATTTAATGCACACGTGGAGGGCCACATTCTGCAGTGAATTTGAGAGAATTTCTAAATCTCCTGAAGATCTGTAAATTCCAGGTATCTCTGGTGGACAGCAGGGTGAGAAGGTCTGACTGAAACTTAGCTGTACGTCCTGAAATATACTCCTCTGTTTTCTAGGGTGTAAAGGGTGTCCATGTCCTCTAGCTGGAGACCACCACAAACAACAGCGATTGAACAAGTTGGGTTTATTGCTTGCTGCAGTGAAGCAGCACACACACCAGCGGAGCCGTGGGGTATAGCACTCAAAGGATGTTGGGAGATATTCATACACTAGGATGTGGGCTGTGGTCGGGTGATTTGTGAAGGGCCTAAGGAAGCAGAGATTCGTTCTAGGTTGGAGCCTGTCAGAAAGTGGGGACGATTATATGATCGAGAACCTCAAATGTTATCAATAGAGAGGGTAAACAAGTGGTAAAGAATGAACCATCACTCATTTAGTAAGAAAAGAGGATGTTTGATACTTTGTGGATAGCGGCCCCTCTTAATTTTGTCTGAACTTAGGCAAAATTATGGTGTGAACTGGTTGTATCATGGCTCAGAGGAACCTTGTCTAAGGTTGGCCTTGTGTGACACGGTTTATATCCAACAGAGAATGACACAGCCAGCTGTGGGTGCCTAAATGCATTGGGCATGTGTAGCCAAATGGAGAAGGGATTGCAGTATGACCATGACCCATGGAGGGTTAGGGTTAGGGTCTCTCTGGCAAGAGCACAAGCCCACCGGCATGCATGCATGAACAAGAAAGAGAAAGGAAGGCAGGAGGAGAGGAAGAAGTAGGCCAAGCTTGTGTGAAAGCTTCAGTTTATGGGGAAGGAGGGTAGGAAGTATGTACCTGTCCGTTCTCTCCCTGATGCCTACCCCCTCACTCCTGTTTTCCTTCCTTCCTTTTGACTTTGATGCCCCGTCTGCTGGGGTCTGTTTTTCTGTTGGTCGATTTTGCTGTACTGGGTGCTTCCTTTGCCGTTTTCTAATCATTTTGTAACACACATGCTGACTCTTCCCTTCCCCTCTTCTCCTGGGAAAGTACGATGAATAAAGACTTACTGTCACTGGAAAAAAGAAAAAAGTTTGTCCTGTAGGGACTTGGAATAAATGACTATTTTTCACTTCTGGCCCAAGGAGGCTCATAAGAATTTCACTTTGGATAGGAAAGGATGCCAATATTAATATTGAGGTAGACTCTGAGGAA